ATATATATATACACACTATTTTTTTTTCTGAGCGAGCATTACACCTTGGAAATCGACAAACCCTACAAATCAGGGTTTGGTTTATTGTTTTGTTGATTGTTGACGTAAGAAAGTGATGGAGAAAATATTAACTTGAAAATGTATTGTTCGGAGAGTTGGTTGTTAAACATTCACTGGCACAGCCTGGGGGCCACGATACGCACAAAAGTCTAAGAAATCCTGTTGTAAAGAGTTGCCTAAAGCGATAAGAGATTTAGTGACTGGCCCAGGTTCACAGCACAGATCCATGTCAGTGGCACAAAGTAAGTGTTTAACAAATACCTGCCTATTGTGATTATTATTATGGAAGTAGCCCAGGCAGAATTCAGACCCAGGTCTCTAGACCCCAGCTCCAGTGTCCTTGCCACTACCCCTCCCCTGCCTGTAAGTCTGCTTTCCTAGAAGTCCCCCATTCTTGGGCAGGGGTAGGATTGGGGGGGGATGATTGAGGTTGCCAGCGATGGCTTTCAATGGAAAATAAAAGAGAAAAGACAAGCCTTAAGAACCTGCATGGCTAGAGGAGCCAGCCAGAGAGCGGCAATGTTCTTCCACCCCTTCACCCCCCCTTCCACCCTCCCCCCAAGCTAATAAAAAGAAATAGAGGGAGGCCTCCGGTTTGTTGGGTGGACTCTGGAGAGAATTGAATGTATGACATTAGCTTACATTTCAAATTAGAATAACATTAGCTAGCATTTACACAGTATGTTGAAGTTTTGTGAATGTTATCTCATTTGACCCTGCAACAGCCCAGTAGAGTAAGTACTATCATTAGCCCCATTTTGTGGATGAAGAAATAGAGGTGCAGAAAAGTTAAGTAAGGTAGATGTTATTATTCCCATTTTACAGTTGAGGAAACTGAGGAAGACAGCAGTTGTGACTTGCTCAAGGACACACGGCCAGTAAAAGTCTGAGGCAGGATTTGAATTCAGGTCTTCCTGCCTTCAACTCCCACATTCTATCCAGTGCCTCACCTAGCTGCATGCTTCAAAAGCATACATAGCTTTCCTCAATACAGTCCTAGGACATAGATAATGGCTTGTTTTCTTCTCACAGATTCCACCAAGGCACTTAGAATTCAATTACAAAGCTATCACGTGCACTGATATCTTGAGCTTTTAGAGGCCGTTTTCATATCTCAAAGGAAAAGAGCTCACCAACTATGCAGGCCAACCCCCTACATGCACATATAAGGAAATTTTATGTAAGTAGCCATCATACCAGGCAACACCAAGCAAAGCCCTGGGGCAGGTGGTCCTCCTTCCCCGGAACTATTATTCAGTGTTCTGCTTTTGGCCGATTGACGGAACCTCACTGCTTCAAGGGGCTCCTTGGAGGGTTCTGCTTACAACCAGATTTTTGCCTGTGCTGTGCTGAGGGTGTGGTCACAGCCAAAGACTATATGGAGAGGGAGTGGGAGAGAGTGTAGCAATCCTAGGCTCCTACAGTTAGAATTGTAAGGGACCTTAGAGACATCTGGTCCAATCCCCTTACTTTACAGATAACAAAACAGCCCAGAAAGAATTGTCTTGAATTTGAAAGAATTCAGAGAAACTTCGGAAGACATATGAACTCCTGCCCTGTGAGGAAAGCAGAACCAGATGAGCTATATGATAAAGGAAAATAACATACAAAAATCATCTAGTTCTAACCCAAGGTTGCATAGAGGGTGGACAGAAGAGCTGGGATTCTAACTCAGATCTTGTGACTGTCAGAGCCCATTCACTCCAAGTAACAGAAAAGGCACAGTTAACGAGAGAGGGAAGCCAAAGGGCTGGAGGCATTTGAACACGGGTAGAAACCTCTTCTTCCTCTTCTTCATCATCATCATCTTCTTCTGCAGAGTTGGGGGACAATGGACTTGGATCACATGTCAGTTCTGCCAAATTGTTTCCCTCTTTTTTTTTTTTTATTCTTTGTTAAGAAGAATGGTTCTTTAGGAGGAGAGTGGAGGAATATATTGGGAAATAAAGGTACTCTAAAAACAAAAGATATCAATAAAACTTTTAAGAAAAGGATTATAAAGATTTCCCCTGAAAGCAATATAGAATTATACAGCAAGAGATAAAAACGGTTCATACCCTTTAATCCCTTTGAAGGCAAAGACTTTTCTATCTTTGTACCCTGGCTCTTAGCACCTAGTACACCTCAAACTATATTATAAAGCAGTAAGCATTCAAACCATTTGGTACTGATGAAAAAAATAGAAAAGTAGATCGATGGGGCAGCCTAAATGAGAGAGAATCAGAAAAAAATGGAACTCAACAACCCTGTGTTCAATAAATCAGAAAACATAAATTACTTAGGAAAAAATCCCTACTTAATATGAACTGCAGGGAAAATCGGAAAACGGTTTGGCAGAAATTAGGCTTAGACCAAGATCTTACGTCATATTCCACAATAAATCCAGGACAGGTAGATGATCAGAATACGAAAGAACAACTCACGAAAAAATTAGAGGAGAAATAGATCCTATTCCATCCACAGGTCTGGGTAGGAGATGAATTCTCAACCAAGCAAAGAATAGAAGCAATAATTACATAAGGTGAAGTAGATAATTTCGATTATATGAAATTGAAAAGCTTTTACACAAACAAAATTAATGCAACTAATATAGGAAGGGAAATGATTGACTAGAAACAAATATTCATATCAAATTTCTTAAGTAGGGATTTTATATCTAAGATATATAGACAACTAATAGAAATGTAATACCAAAAGCTATTTTTCAATAGATAAAGGGTCAAAATTTTAAGAAAAAAAAACCAGGGGCAGCTAGGTGGCACAGTGGATAGAGCATCCACCCTGGATTCAGGAGGACCTGAGTTCAAATCCGGTCTCACACACATGACACTTACTGGCTGTGTAACCCTGGGCAAGTCACTTAACCCCATTGCCTAACCAAAAAAAAAAAGAAAAAGAAAAAGAAAAAGAAAAAGAAAAAAACCAACACTGAAGTTTCACTAGTAAACTGGCAAAAATGGTAAAAGATAGGAGTAGTCAATGTTAGAGGAGTTATGGAAAGACTGGGACCCTAGCTATGAGCTAATCCAACCATTTTGGAAGGCACACAGTAAGCACTTCATAAATGCTTTCTCATTTAGTTTCATTATGCAGTCCTTCCTCCAACCTCCATATAATTATTTCATTTCATTTGTGAGAGACAGCACATGTTGGTGGATAGAACAATGGACTAGAGTTTGACTCTTGCCTCAGATATTTCCTAGCTGTTCAACCCTAGGTAAGGTATGTAACCTCTCTTGGCCTCAGTTTTCTCATCTGTAAAATGGGGAAAATAATCGCATCGACCATACAGGGTTGTTGTGAGACTAAATGAGATAACAAAGATCATACACTATGAACAGGTGGGATTTATAACAGGAATGCAGGGCTGGTTCAATATTAGGAAAAGTATCAGCATAACTGACAACATCAACAACAAAATCAACAAAAATCAATAGATGCAGAAAA